AGAAGTGACTAATAGTTGTACTGTGTGGAATCATTGTTTTCTACATCATGAAGATTTAGCATCCAGAGAAATTCCACAGAATCTCATGGAAGTATTGAAAAATGTAGTGAAAGTTGTCAGTTTTATTAAAGGAAACTCACTGAACAACCAGCTTCTTGAAACATTTTGTTCAGAGATTGGAACTAATTGTACCCACTTTCTGTGTCATACCAAAGTTCATTGGTTGTCTCAACGGAAAATACTAAGCAGGGTTTATGAGCTCAGAAATCAGATTTACTTTTTTTCTCATTGAAAAATATCTCATTTGACAAATATTTTTGAAGATGACATTTGGATTAAAAAATTGGCATATTTAACTGATATTTTTGGTGTTCTTAATGAACTGAGTTTAAAACCACAGGCAAAAATGTATTGTGTTCCCCTGTGATGTATTCCAACATGTCAAACATATCCAGGGATTTTGAAAGACATCATTGTTATGGCAAGCAAGACTTAAAAGTAACTGTCCTAGCTACTACATGTTTCCAAGATTTTTGCAACATATTGAAGAGAATATTATTAATGAAAACATTTGAAAGAAATAAAATTAGAGATATTGTTGAATCTCACTTCTCTATCTCAAACTTTTAAACATTTCTTTCCAGAAGAAAAATTTGAAACATTAAGGGAAAACGGTTGGGTAAAAGATCCACTTGTGGCAAGATGTGGTGGCTCACGCCTGTAATCCCAGCACTTTGGGAGGCTGAGGCGGGCAGATCACGAGGTCAGGAGATCAAGACCATCCTGGCCAACAAGGTGAAACCCCGTCTCTACTAAAAATACAAAAATTAGCTGGGCTTATGGTGCACGCCTCTAGTCCCAGCTACTCGGAAAGCTGAGGCAGGGGAATTGCTTGAACCTGGGAGGAGGAGGTTGCAGTGAGCCGATATTGTGCCACTGCACTCCAGCCTGGTGACCGTCTCAAAAAAAAAAAAAAAAAAATTCACTTGCTTTTTGAAACCCAGAATCAATAATTGGGCTTAATTAATAACTGGTACCTGAAGAAGAGAATGAATTATCTCAGCTTAGTCATTCATATACATTGAAGAATGATTATGAGACCTTAAGTTTATCAGCATTTTGGATTAAGGTAAAGGAAGACTTTGCTTTGTTAAGTAGAAAGAGTGTCCTACTATTACTACCATTCACAACTAGTTTGTGTGAACTAGGGTGTTCAGGGTGTTCTATGTTAACTCAGTTAAAAGCAACAGAAAGAAATGTGTTGAATGGTGCAGCAGCTGTGTGGGTAGCATTACCTTCCTATGTCCAGACTGGAAGGAACTTATGAACAGGCAAGCACACCCATCATAATTAAGAAAATCTTATCTAGGTTTTGGCCAGACAGATCTAGGCCAAGGAAGAGCTTTAGAAACAAGGCTGGAAATAGAGTTTTTATTCCAGTTGCCATAGGTGGAATAGAACCAGCAGCATGGATCAAATGTCAGGTGCAAAAGACAAGGTGAAGCCAAACATGGAACAATGCCAGGTCAGGAACGGGCAGGATTAGGAACAAGCCAGAACACAGTGTGTGGAGCTGTCAGCTGAGGTTCAGGTCCAAAGCTATCAAGCAAAGAATATTGAGACCCATGTTAGTGTCATGCTGGCTTTGTGACCCAAAGGCAGTCCCTGGTATCTTAAGGAACCCATGCAGAGCCAAACATACTGGATAAAAGTAAACTTCCTCAAAAACATGACTACTGGGCCTGGAGCAGTGGCTCACGCCTATAATCCCAGCAACTTAGGAGGCTAAGATGGAGGGATTGCTCAAGGCCAGGAGTTTGAGACCAGCCTGAGCAACATAGCGAGATGTCTATAAAATATTAAAAATTACCTGGGTGTGGTGGCACACACCTGTAGTCCTAGCTACTTGGGAGGCTGACACGGGAAGATCACTTGACCCAGGGAGGTCGAAGCTGCAGTGAGCCATGATCACCACACTACTGCATCTGCCCTGGGTGACAGAAAAAGACCCCCTCTCTTTAAAAAAAAAAAATAGCTATTGAAGATTTTTCTCCTTTACTGTGAGCTTTCAGCACCTGCTGATGGAGAGACTGAGAATTCCCTACTATTGATATTAAGACCCTTTTTATTTGAGATGGAGTCTCACTCTGTCTTGCCCAGGCTGAAGTGCAGTGGCACAACCTCGGCTCACTGCAACCTCTGTATCCTGGGTTCAAGCAATTCTCCTGTCTTAGCTGGGATTACAGGCATGTGACACCACACATGGCTAATTTTGTATTTTTAGTAGAGATGAGATTTCACCATGTTGACCAGGCTGGTCTCGAACTCTTGACCTCAGGAGTCCTTGGCCTCTCGAAGTGCTGGGATTACAGGCATGAGCCACTGCGCCTGGCCAAGACCCATTTTAAGAAAGCAGATCATTTCAATGCAGACAGTATGGCATGCAGACAGCTTGAGATGCAGAAAAGGACTTAGAAGCAAAACCAGACAATAAATGAAGAGGATGCTGACAGAATCAGGACAGGGATAATCTCCTGGCCACATCTGGCTACAGCTGTCACAGTCCCCTAGAGAAGAGGGACTGGCATCAATAACTGAACAGCACTTCACCCTTTTTGTGATGATTTTGTGTCCATACATTTGCTTAATTCCGCTTGTATAGTTCTCATCTCCTAGTGCCAGTATAGTCATTCTGGACTGACCTCTGTGTTGCCATTGTCTTTACAGAGTTCAGGAGAAAACAAAACTCCTCTCTGGGTATGGTAATAAGAAATGCTTGTTGTTATTTAAAAAAAAAAAAAAAGATCCCTAGACCAGGTGGATTCCAACAGGTAGTCACTGTTTAGGCCCTGCTGCCCGAATGGAGCCAACCAGGTAACTGCTGTCCTTGCCCCCTTAGCAAATGTAGGAGAAGCCAGAACATTAAAAAACACAGCCTAAACATGCCTCATGGCTATGTGGGTGTGCCACATATTACACAAGGACATAAATTAATTAAGAAGCAAGGAAGGGACTAAGGACTGGGTAAGACATGAAGGAGTCCAAGAAACAGCAAGAACTCCAATCACTGAGAACATGACTTGGGAACCTGCCAGCCAACTGTGCCATCAAGTTAATAAGAACGTGCCAGGCACGGTGGCTCACGCCTGTAATCCCAGTACTTTGGGAGGCCGAGGCGGGTCGATTACAAGGTCAAGAGAAAGAGGCCATTCTGGCCAACATGGTGAAACCCCGTCTGTACCAAAACTACAAAAATTGGGTGGGTATGGTGGTGTGCGCCTGTAGTCCCAGCTACTCTGGAGGCTAAGGCAGCAGAATCGCTTGAACCCAGGAGGCAGAGGTTGCAGTGAACTGAGATGGCGCCACTGCACTCCAGCCTGGTAGCAGCAGGAGACCCCGTCTCAAAGGAAAAAAAAGAGAGAGAGAGAGAGAGAACGTGTCGCTGAGAGATGCCAAGTCTCTGCAAGATGAGTGAGCGTTTTTCTCATGCCGCCTCTTTTCTAAGAAGCTAAAGAAGAGGCGATCACAGCTCCAGGACTGCAGGCACATCAGGAAGGAGGTGGGAGGTCCTGGGGAAGCCGCCGCCAGGGCTCGGTCGGCTCATGCTCTTCTCAGGGCAGCAGGAGTTGAGGTTTAGCATGCTGAGGTTTCAAAAGTTTGGCTGACTCCAGTCTTCCTTAGTTCTGTAAAAATTCCACAGGAGTGCTGTGATCCCCCTGGAGCCTCCAGTCACTTCTAAAGGAAATATTTTCAGGTACCTGACTCCCCTCCTTCCTCTCTTCCAGATGTTAAGTTTTAGCTCTCTTCTTTGTTCATAAATATGTTGCTATTTTTGTTTTTGTTGTTTTTCCCCAAGCCAAAAACTTCAATAACACAAAGGAAGGGAAACTGTGATAAATCGCCGTTGCCCACACTCCAGTCCAAACTCTTAGGGAGAGTGTGCTCTTAACATCTGCTCCGAGCTATAAACCACAGATGTTAGTTTTAACATGGAGGAAAAATATGCTTCTTTAAAAAGAGCCACAAAGGAACATCCTGTATGTCACAGTCCAGTAACCTCCTACACAAAGGGGAGCTGGGAGTCAGTGCCGGGTGCAAATGACACGCGTCTTCCCTGTCTGATGGTCTCGGGGCCTCCCAGCCATTGTGAGTCCCACTCCTCACCATTGCACTTGACAGAGCCGGCTGACCACGTGGAAAATTACCCAAAGGCTGTTAAAAAACAATTCACAGAAAGTTACAGAAGGTCACAATGAAAACGCTGTGCAGCTTGGGACAAAAGAATGGAAAAAATCTTTGCAGAGCAACACCTACTGCACCTTCACTGAGCCGTGCCACGCTCCCCACACCCACTGCCCCTGCCCTCACCTTTCCCTTCAATTTGTGCTTGCTGACCCTTTATAAAATTAGAAGACTTTGTGTCATACTGTGGCCTAGAATGAAGCAAGAGTTCAAGAGACACACTGTGGAATGCCTGTTCTACCCACATCCCCCTCTCCAGGGACTGTCTCTGCTCCTAGTCCCTTTAGCTTAACTGGTCATTCATTCATTTAGAGTACAAGTATGTACTGAGCACCTATTGTGTTCCGAGCACTGTGGTAGATAAAGATATGAAAAATGAACAATACAGACAAGGACCCTTTCTCACAGAGTCCATTTTTTAATGGGGAGAGTTAGCTGGTATGCAAGTAAACAAATAAACAAAATAATTTTGGATAATGATACCTACTATGAATTTTTTTTTTTTGAACTCTGATCTTTTTATTGGCCTCCTGCTCCCCAAAGGGTACCCTGATTCTGCTGGCTTAATGCCTCAGAACTTTGGTGTCGTTGGTCTCAGACACCACTTTGCCATCCACTATCCGGCGGGTGGTGGTCTTTTGGATGGTTTGCATGGAGTTGCTGCTGTCCAAGGCATCACCAAGATTGAATTCCTCGCCATCTTCCAGCAGGCGGCGGTAGGTGGCGATCTCAGCTTCCAGCCTGTCTCTTATACACATCTAGATGTGTATAAGAGACAGGTCTGCCATGATCTTGGCGAGGTCCTGAGATTTGGGGGCATCTGCCTCCACGGTCAACCCAGAGCTGGCAATCTGGGCTTGTAGGCCTTTTACTTCCTCTTCGTGGTTCTTCTTCATGAAGAGCAGCTCCTCCTTGGGAGCCTCGATCTCTGTCTCCAGCTGCAGCCGAGTGACATTGGTGTCATCAATGACTTTGCAGAGCCCATGGATGTCGTTCTCCACTGACTGGCGCATGGTCAGCTCTGTCTCATACTTGACTCTAAAGTCATCAGCAGCAAGACGGGCATTGTCAATCTGCAGAACGATGCGGGCATTGTCCACAGTATTTGCGAAGATCTGAGCCCTCAGGTCCTCGATGATCTTGAAGTAATGGCTCCAGTCTCTGACCTGGGGTCCCTTCTTCTCCAAGTGCTCCCGGATTTTGCTCTCCAGCCTCCGGTTCTCGGTCTCCAGGCTCCTCACTCTGTCCAGGTAAGAGGCCAGGCGGTCGTTCAGGCTTTGCATGGTCTCCTTCTCGTTCTGGATGCCTCCCATTCCTGCCAGACCCCCGGCCATCCCGGAGGCCAGGCCCCCGGACCCCATGCCACCCCGGAAGCTGGTGGAGCGGGACACGGAGATCCGGGAACCAGAACCCCCGGCGCCTGCATAGACACTGGCCGCGCTGCTGACTGGCCGGGCGCCGTAGCTGGGCTCCTGGACACAGCCCAGGGACCGGTAGTTGGTAGAGAAGGTGGAGCGAGTGGTGAAGCTCATGCTGTATGAGAGGAAGGCGAGACGACAGGACTCAGGCTTTGCCGACCTACTATGAATTTTTTAAGACAAGCAAAACAAAGTGATGTTCTAGAGCACAGATCCCCAGGGCTATGAACCAGTACCTGTCCATGGCCTGTTAGGAACTGGGCCGCACAGCAGAGGTGAGCCGTGGGCCAGCAAGCAAGTGAAGCTTCATCTGTATTTACAGCCTCTCCTCATTGCTCACATTAGCACCAGAGCTCCACTTCCTGTCGGATCAGTGGTGGCATTAGATTCTCATAAGAGTGCGAACCCTATTGTGAACTGCAAATGGAGGAATCTAGGTTGTACGCTCCTTATGAGAATCTAATCCCTGATGATCTGAGGTGGAGCAGTTTCATCCCAAAACCATTCCTGGAAAAATTGTCTTCCACGAAACCAGTCCCTGGTGCCAAAAAGGTTGGGAACCACTGTTCTAGCAAATGATTTGGGAGAAGGGGTTCCTACTTTAGATAAAATAGACTAAGAGAGCCTCTCTGAGAATGTATGAGCTTGCACCTGAGTGAAGAGGAGTTGTGGCTGCAGTGAGAGTCAAGATTGTGGCTGCAGTCTTCCTTCTTGGACAGAAAGAAGAACAAGTATAAAGGTCCTGGGGTAGGAATCAGAAAGGACCAGAAAGGCCAGAGTGGCTTAAGCCTGTAAAAAAAAAAAATAAATAAAAATAAAAAAAAAAAAGTTTAGGCTGGGCACAGTGGCTCACACCCATAATCCCAGCACTTTGGGAGGCCAGGAGTTCAAGACCAGCCTGGGCAACATAGTAAGACCCAACCTCTTTTTTAAAAAAAATTAAAATTAGCCAGGTAAGCTGGTGTACGCCTGTTGTCTTAGTTACTTGGGAAGCTGAGACAGGAGGATCACTTGGGCCTGGGAGTTTGAGGCTACAGTGAAACATGATGAAGCTGCTGCACCCCAGCCTGAGCAATAGTAAGACCTCATCTCTAAAAAGAAAAGAGAATGAGTTTGCAGAGTAGCAGAGGCCTTGGTAAGAAGTGTGAAATTTATTTTAAGGGCAACAGGAAATCACTGGAAATTTTTAAACGAAGGAGTGGCATAACCTGATAGACATGTTCAATGGAATCATTTGGGTACTATGCGGAAGGTGGATCCTTGGAGGGCCATAGTGGAAGCCAGGAAACCACTCAGGAGTCAATTGCAATAGCCCAGGCAAGACATGATGGTGGCTTTGACAGGAGCAGTCAGTCAGCAGTGGCAATGGAGAAATAGACTCACTAATCATATATCATGGAGGCACTGACAGGGCTTGCTGATACAGTAAATGGGAAAGGAGAAGGGAAGAGCTGAGTGAAGCATGATCCTGAGTTTTGGCCTTCAGCCACTCAGTGTATGAGCATGACTTTGATGGAAAATACTAAGAAGGAACTGGTTTGGAGGTGAAAATCAAGAGTTCAAGTTTACCCAGTTAAGTTTAAGATTAGGCATCCAAATGGAGATGTCTGGGAGGAGCAGGTAGTTGAGATTCAGGGAAGCTATCAAGGCTGCAGATAAATATGTGGGAGTCATTGGTATATAGAAGGCATTTAAAGCCCTAGGACTAGATGAGATCAACTAGGGAAAGTGTACAGATAGAGAAAAGAAGAGGACCAAAGAAAGAGTCCATGGGAATTCCCAAAAGAGGGTGAAGCATGCCCAAAGGATGTAGCAGACAAATCAGAAGCCTGTGTTATCATGAAGGTCAAAAGAACCAAGTTTTTCAAGAACGGGGTGGTCAAGTGTGTGGAATGCTGCTGAGAGACTGAGTATTATGAAGACAGACAGCAAAGTGACCATGAGATTTGGCAACATGGAAATGATGGTTTCCTTGACAAGAATAGCTTCAAAGGACTGATGGAGTCGAGAGAATGTACTGAACAGTGACTAGAACTTCTAATGAAACATAGGGGTGTAAACATATGTGGTATGTCCATTCCATCTTGACACCCATTAAAGTAAAAGTAATGAAAGTTTGTTAAAAAGAAAAAGAGCAAGCCCACAAGAGCAAAGAGAATGGCATGAACATGACAGGGGACAAGAGAAGTCAATAATTATTGGAAGAGGTAAAAAGCTAGATGAAAACCAACTTAGCAAAGCAGAGAGAGCTGAAACCAAGGTGAATGCAAAGAAAAATGTTAGCAAGAAGCAAGCAAGCTCCAACCACCAACTCCACAAAGCCTCATACATTGGAGCCAGGGTGAGAAATGGGGCTGAAAACAGGTGGATAGGGCAGAAGTGTTTATAAGAAAGTGTTCCTACCCCAGTCCTCCTCCCAACCTTGCACGGCCTGGAAACTACCCTGGTAGGCTATAGATGATTTCATCTCCAGATAAATTGATCTAGAGAGACTCAAGGATAAGCAATACCTGGCAAAGAGGAAGTTAAAGAAGCACCTTCCTGAAAGCAGGGAGATTAAGTGAAATCTACATATGGGATGGTAAGACCCTCCCATCTTCCCCAGTTCAGCAGCCAGCCCTGTTGACAGTCCTCTCTGGAGGGGACTGAGGGGCTGTGGGTTACTCCCACTCTAGCTGGTAGCCAAGTTGGGCATGTACAGGCAGAGGAAGCCAATCAAGATGAGAGGAGAGAGAAAGCAGTAAAGAAGAAAGATGTTGCTGTCCCTGGGAGATGTGGACAGCTTTGGGTGCTGGCCTCAGGCCAGGAGCAGATAGCTCTTCCAATCTCATGACCTGGTGCATGCTCACAACACCTTTTCCTTGAGCCGCTTGAGTAGCTTCCAACCTCCTAGGCAGATGATCTATAGCAAAGGCTGGAAGCATCCAGAAGAAGGCTGATTTTCCAGACCCTGTCCAAGCTCCACTTGCAGTGCTGTCGGTATTTGTTATGCAGAGGTGGCCAACTGAGCTGCAGACTTCCCTTTCCCCCAGGGATTCCAGAATGTCCAAGAAGAGCCTATCTACAGGTCTGAAGGTTCTAGAAAGGCAAGCAGTGGTCCCACATCATAGAAGGCCAGGCTGTTAGGCAATATCTTGTGTAGCTACCACATGTTACAGATAGGGAAGGTAAACTCAGAGGCATTAAGCCATTTGTCTAAAGTCACAGAGCTTTATTATCCAAAGAACTGGTTAAAGGTAAATTCCAGTCTCTTGACTTTCAGCCCCGAAATCTTTCCACTACCCCATATTGCCTCCCACTAGACTTGATTAATTTGAAACATGGGCTGTGCCCAAAGACCACTTGGACAGGTGAGATTTGCTTATTTCCATGGCACTACTGATATCAAAATACTAAAGCATGAAGCTCTAGATTCACTATTGTGTAGCAGGTAACATGCTGAATGCAGAGCCCAGCAATGTGGGTTCCGGTCTTACCCTTACCTCCTTGTTCTGTGTTATCACGTAGGCAAGTTGCTGACGCACCCCTCCAGACCTTGTTTTTCTCATTCGTAAAATATAGACGTAGTGACAGTGCTAAGGGCAGAGGAAAGAACATGAATTCCAAGGGTCTGAGAGCATCGCCTAAATATGCCTCTAAAACTCGAAATTTCTCTCCAGGCTCCCTATTTCCTTAAATATATATCTATGCAAATTCAGTATTTTTGTTTTATGTATATTTTTTGTGTATTTTGTTTTATGTATATTTAGTATATTTGCTTTAATATAAATATAGGTGGGGGTGCTATTCCCCTCCAATGTTCACATCAAATTGATGCTCCAGGAAGATGACCCATATTTGTCCGAACTTTGCTTGTCCTTCATATAACCTGATGCTAAAAGGCCTCCTTTTAATGTCCTTTGTGAAGAAAAGAATAAACGTGTTAAAGACTCAAGCAGCAGTATCAGCTCAGGCCAGGGCCACGCTGTTATGGTCCAGTCCACCATTTCTCCAAGGCTTCAAGGGTGCCTCATACTAACCACAAAACAATGGGGCCCAGAGAGATCCCCTTCCTTCCACCTAAAATTGCCCTTTCCCACAGCAGGTATCCTCTGGCACCCACAGCAGACAAAATCTGAGAGTTGAAATCCCCTCTTATAAGAACCCAGGAGAGTTGTGAGTTTGAGTCTCCGGTGCTCCGTGATCAGTCCCCAGGGATGCCAAGGAAGCTCTCACGTGCCTGTAAGGCATAGCTCTCCCTGCGAGGCATGGGAGGCATCCAGCTTCTCTCCATCCTTCCCGGGAAGGGAAGGCCCCACAGGAAACCCACATCTCACTCCCCCTGCCCTCTGCTTCCTGCTGTCTCTGCCCCTGCCCCATGTCAATGCTCCTACCAAAGTCCCTGTCTGTAACCTGACCTTGTCCCCAGGTCCATCTCCATCCCTCTCTGCCCTGTGGTGTTACAGGACTCCCTCCTTGGTCCCCATCCCACTCCACCCCTCAGATTCCTTGTTAGTAAACATGACACAATGTTCTGCAGTGTAGCAACAGGCAAGCATTCTCGGTGGCTGAGGGCTCCTGAGGACAGGGCAGGAGGGACTGGCTACAGCTCCCAGTTTCTAGCCAGGCCTGGGCAGATTCCACTAGTGAGCTGCTGATTCAATTCCAGACAACAAATGTTATCAAGGCCCACTCTGGGCCCAGCCCTGCACTATGTTCAAGAGGTGCAGCTATGAAGCACACACAACATGGCACAGCCCCTGGGTTGGGGTACAGGCTTGAGAACCCATAATTACAATCTGTGGGTTACACAGACAAGATGCCTGCTGAATGGAGAAGGGCAGAGCGGGTGAGGGAAGGGAGCAGAGAAGAAATCAGGGAGGCCAGCCCTCCCATAGCCACAGCACACCAGCAGCAGGACTCTGATGGCCAGCTCCCAAGGGGCCACTGTAACACACAGACCAGCAGTCAGGGCTGCCTGGGCTGGGGCAGGGGAGGACGTGAAAGGAACCAGGGCTGTTATCCAGCTTAGTTAGTCCTGGTTTTTTTGTTTTTTGTTTTGTTTTGTTTTGTTTCATTTTTTTTGTAACTTTTTTTTGTTTGTTTTTTGAGACAGAGTCTCACTCTGTCACCCAGGCTGGAGTACAGTGGAGCAATCTCAGCTCACTGCAACCT